AACTTTCATGTAAATCTATCTTGGGTTCATGTGAACTCTCCAAATGAAGTTGATGGATAATGCAGTATTTGCAGTATCATTTGAAACAACATAATTAAAAAAAATTTTTAAACATAAAATTCTTTAAGAGGTGCAACCTATTTCTAATTTCAATATTTATATAAATTAGCAACACCCATTTGAGACCATAATTTAACATTTTTCTCTTTTAGTAGGATACATGCTTTGCATTTCTTTATGTTTTCATTTATTTTATGGGAAATACAAATGATTTCAATAAACAAAAAGTATAAATACAAAGTGTCATTCCTTTCTAGTCCCTCAGTATAATAACTAGCTGTAGAAAATATTTTTTATTTATGAAAACAATCTGAATTTCTCTAATTTTCCATGTACTGAATATTAAAATATTGCCTTATGCACTAAAATGGTAAATAATTAAGTATCAAGATAATTAAATAATAATTATTCAAGTGCTGTCATAACAATTTTATATGTGGGAAATATAGCAGTTAACAAATAAATGCCATGGAATATAAGTATAAATGTTTTATTCAAAAATAGCGTGGAAGCTATTATAAGGTCCAAAATAGTCTTTCTTTATAGAGTAGACAGAAAAGGATATAAAAATTGTGTTATAAAAACACTTTATACTGTCAAAGATATCTTTAAGAAATTTTAATGATGACAAAAAATTTTAAAGGCAAAAGAGAATTCCCAATTTTCTATAATAGAAAAAAATTGGATAATAAAAATACATTATATTTGCCTGTGTGTGCTTATAAGTTCATAAGAGTGTTTTCTGGTGATATAGATTAAAACGGAAATTGAACTATGAAACTCCATTGCATGGCTTTGGAAGAGGTTGGGGACTTTATAAACCTATCAGATAGAATTGGCAACTGCAAGGGGAAGGCTGCCTGTTATAATAAAGGGCCTGACTCCATTTTTTATGTTTGCTGATAGCTTACAAGCCTCACTCTTTTTCCTTCTGCCCCATGTAGGGTCACACTGAGAAAGTTTGGGTGTGCCCACCTTTGGCACTGGCAGGAAATTCAAACCACAATATGGCTGGGCCCACAGGTGCCAGAACACTCACCCAGATTGATCCCCTAAATCTGTGGTTCTCAACCTTCTGGCCCTTTAAATACAGTTCCTCATGTTGTGACCCAACCATAAAATTATTTTTGTTGCTACTTCATAACTGTAATGTTGCTACTGTTATGAATCGTAATGTAAATATCTGATATGCAGGATGGTCTTAGGCGACCCCTGTGAAAGGGTCGTTCGACCGCCAAAGGGGTCGCGACCCACAGGTTGAGAACCGCTGCCCTAAATCATAATACAAGCAGAGTTGGTCTCCTTTCCTTGCTCTCACAAACCATTTTTGGATCAGCTTGAAAGATTGCCCTGCTCTCTCCAGAAAGTCCAGAAAACCTCATTATGTAAGTAATAAATCTTTTCATCACCTCATGGTGTGTGTGTGTGTGTGTGTGTGTGTGTGTGTGTGTGTGTGTTTATCAAATCTTTACATCCAAACCAAATTTTGGGTGTATCCTCATTCTGTGGGATAAACATAACATCTATCTGCCCAGAACAACCTGATCTAAAAATATTATAGCAAACTATTTAAGAAAGAACAGTAATAGTAATATTTCATAAGGCCAATTTATACCTCAAATTGGTGGGTGTAACCATACAATGAGGGCCCAGACTTTATAAGATTGAGTTTACTATGCTTATTCCAAAGCCTCAAGAAACATTGATTAAGTGTATACCACCTAAGTCACTGTGCTAAGTGCTGGGATTAGAGGCAAGAAATTCCAAAGTGTATAAAATACACTCCCTTTCCTCAAAGAGGAAGCTCAATAGGGGCACACCCAACTCTAACACAATAAACATTCTTGAATGCAGTAAAGTACTATAAACATGATTATTTCTGCTTGAGAATGATGGGGAAGGTAGCATTTGAGCTTGCTGTTCATAGATTCACAGATTTCTATTGGTGGGACAAGATAGCCTGGAATGGAAGAGACAAGCCTGGATGTATTCAGGAAACTGGGATTATGCCAGAAGGAAAAGTGGTGAGGAGGAAAAGCAACCACATTTCCCTTTTAGTCAGATAACTCTTAGGGTAGCACAGGAGTACATCAGAAGCAGAGGACAGAAGAAGGAGGGCCTATACAGTGATGGCGAACCTATGACACGCGTGTCAGAGATGACACGCGAACTCATTTTTTGGTTGATTTTTCTTTGTTAAATGGCATTTAAATATATAAAATAAATATCAAAAATATAAGTCTTTGTTTTACTATGGTTGCAAATATCAAAAAATTTCTATATGTGACACGGCACCAGAGTTAAGTTAGGGTTTTTCAAAATGCTGACACGCCGAGCTCAAAAGGTTCGCCATCACTGGCCTATGAGGAGCCTCTTTTAATAGTCCAAGTGGGAGGAGAAGGCTTAAAGTAGGGCAGTCACAATAAAAACTAAAATAAGGAAACTGAGGAACACTTCTGAGTTGGCAGGACTTGATACATTGAATTTTGGGATGTGGAGGTATAGTTTAAGAAATGCCTCCAGTTTTCTAAAGGGCATGAATCTGATATTTATAGAACAAAAATAGTATACCGTGGAGTTAAAAGTGATTTTCTAAGTTTGTTCAGTTCCAAAAAGCTAATAACAATATAATAGGAACCAAGTACCCCAATGCCTTTAACACAACGTACTAGAGTAACTAGACCATGCTGAAAGATCAGAAAATAGGCGAGTGCTAAGAGATTATAAAACTGGTTTTTCCAACATTAGCCTATCATATTCCTTGAGGCTATACAAGGGAAAGGGAAGAATTCATTGATAAATTGCACAAGAGTGCAATAAGAGTCCTTTGGGAGAAAGTTGTATGCATGCTTGTAGGAAACAATCCCCCATCCCTGCCAGCTCCAACACACTCACAGTCCTGGCCTCGGTCCCTGCCCGTAGCGGAAGCGAGGAAGACTTCGAGAGAGGTATGTGGAGGGAGAGCTTTACCTGCAGCCCGGGCGTCGGGTCACAGGCACCCGCACCCCATTCAGCTAACGGCAAAGAGACGTGGTTAGCTAGATGGTCCGACAGCAGAGGATGCTATGTTAGGTTGGAATGCACTTTCAGAGTTTGCTGGGGGGAAAGGATGAGTGCGTTTCCCAAGAACCCGCTATGGACCCTGCGAGAATATCAGAGCAATTCCTTTATTTTAAGAACGCTCTGCCTCGTGAGATCATTGGTCTGTCTTTAGGCACTTCGCCAAGCTTCTTTTGGCCGCCCATCTTTATTTTTTTGTTTTCTATCTTCTCTTTATCACATGTACGTTGGAAAACTACATTCAGCTGTAAAAACCGTCACACCAAGCCCGGCAACAAGTAGACGCCTCCGTGCCTGGAGCGCGCAGCGCGCGGCCAAGAGGCGGAGGGACGAAGTGTGAACCGCTCGGCACCCGGAGGTGTTGTTCCCAGGGGACCGGGGCAGAAAACCGGAAGAGGGGGGCCGGGGGCACGGTTTTTTTTGGGAAAAAAAAAAATTTCCGCCGCCCCCCCGGGGGGCCCCGAG